AGGCTCTCTTTTCAGTGGAGATTGCTAAACTGGAATCTGTAAGACCAGAGTTTCTGCAGGATCAGATGTAAAGAGGGTCTGTCTGGGAGTGAAAGCAACACAACAGGGAGGGGACAGAGTGAATGGGAAGAAGGGTGAGTGGAGAATGCCATTTCAGCTTCCAAGCCAGCAATGCCGGGACTGAAAATACAGTGGCCTCCCTTTCGTTGCAGGGAGACTCACAGTAGAAGCTTGAAAGCTTGGACACTGCCAAACCTTATATACACTGCTTTTTCCTTTACATACATAACTATGATAAAGTTTAATTTATAAATTAGACATAGTAAGAGATTAACAATAAAAGTAATTACAACAATAAAATAAAAGCGATGTGAATGTGGTCTCTCAAAGGGGCCTTATTATACTGTATTCACCCTTCTACTTATTGATTGCTGGTAACTGAAGCCTCAGAAAGCAAAACCATGGATAAAGGGAACTACTATACCTTCGAATATTCAGATAGATGAAACAATAAATTCCCCCTCTTAATTTTTCAAAGTTGATTTGACGTAGGTTTCTGTCACTTGCAGCTAAACAGACTAATAAACAGTTGGCTTCCTTGTACCTTTTGTATAGGAAGGGAGCAGTTCGTACTAATCAGCTGGCGATTTATCCTGATTATCCTGCTAGGTAATGGCAATGCAACAGTAACCTTCCAGTGGCTACAAAACTGTCCTCTGCCTCCAATTTTGCATCAGCCAGGCTTGTGCTTATTCTGTTCTCTGAGCAAAAGAACCTTGGTACCACCTCAAGAACTTCATTTGTCTTCCCTCTGCTTCAGAGATTGCTCCTTGGGTCTTCATTTTGGCAGCACCTTTGGCTCTCAGCTGAAATGTCACGGCCTCAGGAAGCCCTCCTTGCACCCGATGCCAAGGTTTCTGCTCGATTATTCTTTGTAGTGATCTTCTGTTATTGTCACCATAATCCTGACATTTTCTTATGTATTTTTATTGTCTTTCCACTTCCATGACTACAAGCTCCATGAGAACATGGATCTTACCGTGTATTTCCAGTGCTCAGAAGACTCCTTGACACATAGTAGGGCTTCAGTAGAAGTCTGTGAAATATATCAATGAACAGCCACATATGCAACTGTTATGTAAGTACATGAGCTTATGTTTGTACTTTATGTGGATTACTCAATCATCAAAATGACCTCAAGAAACAATTCCTAAATGTGTGCAGGGAAATTGAGTTTTGGAGAGGTTGAACATCTGGCCTAATGTTACACACCTGGGAGATGGCAGAGGTATGATTTAAACAAAGAACTATTTACCCCAAATAGGTCTTACTTCTTCAGTGACTCCCAGATTTGCCTCAAATCTCACAATTCTAAAATTCTAGCAAATGGAAATCCTTGCTAGATTATGAGTTGTAATTTAGGAATGATTTGTAGAATGTGGCCCTCCTAGAGACAACTGGTTATGTTCTCTGTGTAACATCTTCAGGAGCACACAGGGCCAACATGGCTCTAAGTGGTCATCCTAATAGACATGCCAGAAACTGGCCATGCCTGGAATGTACTGCGAATGAAATTATCAACGGGAAATTAAAGGGTGCTTGGTAGGACAGCTCCAGCCTGCAGGAGTAGTTGTAACAAAAATACACAGGCAAAGAAAACAGTGAGGATCATGATGGTTTCACTGCAGGGGGTGATGTGGGTGGGCTTTTAGGGGGATGTGTGAAATACAGCCCTTCTTTTGATGGATACAGAACAAGAAAAGAAAATAAACTCAAGGTTTGGAATTATTGTAATTGACAAGTGAATATATTGCTAGTTGTTGGAGAGAATCATAAAGTCTGAATAAACTCTGTACAGAAGAAAAAATACAATGTAGCAAAATGACAACATATAATAGAAATTGAAAGACTTATTTGAAGTTTGATTGTGTAAAACATCCAGCTGTCAAAGATTCAGTTTCTTGTATTTTTAAAGTTTGTTTAATCTTTATGTAGACTTTTACATGTGAGAATATAAACTGAGCCAAGGAAAGCTCTTTTATCCTCTTCTTTGAGAACCTGAATCCATCCTTTTCATCATCAGGCTTTCAAGAATAAAAGCTCATGTGATATTAAAATAAGAAAAGTGAAAACACTACTTTTGATGCCTGAAAAGGATGTAGCAGGCATTAGAAGTTGTACATGTGTATGTGTCAGTTTTTAATATCTAGAAATAGCCACACGGTAGACATGAAATCCTACTGCTTTGTATATTAACTGGAAATGTGTTTTCTCCTTCTATTCAGAACATTGGTCACTTCAAAATAGCCATACTTATATACATGTGGCACACGCCTGTAATACCAGCACTCTCCCAGGAGGATTGTCAGGAGTTCGAGGCCAGCCTGAACTACATAGCCAGATCCTGTCTCAAAAAAAAAAAAAAAAAGAAAGAAAGAGAGAAAGAAAAGAAAAAGAAAAAGAAAAAAATTTCACCAATGGTTTTAATATTGCTCAAGTTGTATTAACCTACCATTGTAAGGTATTGTACTTGTGCTTTATGTAAAGGACATTTTCCAGTTATAACTTCCATATACAATTGTGTTAATAACTCCATGTGCCAGTTATACTACACATTACTTCAACTAAAGCACTATCTTAGAGAAGGGCCCTTAGGAAAAGTGATGTCCAGACTTGATGGATAGAAAGGGGCTTGTCCTGAAGACAGGAAGAAATGGGTTGATGCATACAAGGCAGCTTCTCGGGTTTCTGAATGGGGACAGTGAGGTGACAGGAAGGAAAAGGTGAGGGACAAGCTGGCCAGGTAGATAGAAATTGCTGCCACCTAGGGAGCTCAGAGAAGCCTTCCTTGATTCTCTTCCCTCTTAGATACTCAGTGCCTGTGCTCTCTGGTTCCTGGGGGAGCCTCTCACGGTGATTGTCAAGCTGTGTTTTAAGCTGTGTCTCTCCCCTATACCCTGCCAGATCCTTTGAAGGATAAAGGGCTGCTCTCCTTACCTCTGTACCTCAAGACCTGGGGCAAAGCTGAACCCTCACCAGCCAGACACATCGACACCTCAGCGCCCTTAAAAAGCTAGGTGAAGTGGGAGGACTGACACATAGCTCCTCAGAAGTTCCCTCCAAGCCAGTGCCACACATAATGGCTCATGGTCTACACCAAGCTGAGTGCTGGGAGTTGCTGGATACACTGGACTTCAGGTACAAGCTTTTGAGATCTGAACAGAGCCTGTGATGACTTCCTAGTTAGTTGCTGTAACTATTTTGTGCTCTGCTAATGTATTTTACAACAGCTGGGCCCCTTCCTTTTTTTCTTCCTTCTAACCTCTCGTTTCCTTCCTTCCTCTCCTCCTCTTTTCCTTCTTACTGCTCCCTGCAGTTCTTAGAGATGGCGTTGTTATGCAGGAAGTTATGCAGAAGTTCTAAGGTAACCCAAACACTGTTCATTTTCGCCTTGGCTGGACTCACAGCCAGGTTCTCTGCCAGCCTTCTGGGGTGACCAACAGCTCTGGGCTGGTTGGGAGGTGGACAATCTGGGCTGAGTGTCCTGTGTCCCAGGAGTCTCAGCTTCTGCAAAGGAAGGAATTGGAACAGAGCAGTGAGGGTGCAACCTCTTCTGGAACAGTCTGTGTTCATCACCCTTGCACAGTGAAGGGCAGGAGGGAAAGAGGGAACAGTTCCTCAGTAAACCTCATCCCAATTCCTTGACTTTGAAGAAAAAGTATCAAACTCTTCCCATTTTCCTGGAGCGGAGGTGCTAAATCCAGCTGTCTTTGCAGCCTCCGGCAGGTTAAAAAGCATGCATTTCCACACGACTTGCTGATTTATACCAAATTTTAACGTTTTTTAAAATTCTCCCTACAGTCCCTGTTGCTAGCTCCTCTGAACACCGAGGTACTCTGAGCAGACTTCCGGGCTCATTTTCCAGGGTCTAGTGTCTTGTGCCTCCTTTGTGTTGAGCTCTTCCCAGCACATACCCTCGCCCGACCTTGACGGAGGAAGCCAGAGAGTCTCCAGCTTACTTTGTTAACTTCCCAGTTCCTCTGCCCACCGCCTCTGTACATCTGCTTTGTTTTAAAGCGCTGTGCACAGGGTTAAATTTCTCACTTTCAAATGAAAATAACCATGGCCTCTGTGTCCACTGCATGGGCACCTTTGGGTGCAGATGCATGCAGTGTATCGCGGAGAAACTTCTAAGAGGGCAGTGGCTTTCAGGACAAAAGGGCCAAAACGGTTCAACTCCTATAGACTCTGGGCAAAATCAATAACTCCACAAAACACAACAGCTGTCCCAAGCACATCTCCTTTGCCCTTCTCTCGAAAAATCAATACGCAGAGTGATTAGGAGTTCACGTTATCAGCGGCCTCCTCTTTGAGCTCAGGGACCCTGACAGGTCACCTTGGCTGGTTCTTGGCTTCCCTTTCCTCAGTTGTAACACGGGAAGAGAAACTGAAGTCTACATCATTGGGGAAGTTGTAAGGATTAGATGAGATGCTGTATGTAAAATGTCCATCATACAATTTAGGGTTAAACCATAATAGATATTATTAATAGTCTAGATAAGCAGGTTGCTCCTCTCCTGGAACGTGGAGAGCTTGGCTGGCCAGGTGGAAAGTGTTCGTCCCCTTCTAGGACCCTTCAAGTCCTATTATCTCGGGTTGGGGTCCCAGAGGCCGCGCTTCCCAAATAGGGTGAACAGGCAGCTAGCCCAGCGCGAGCACAGGTGCGGTTCTGATCACAGCGAGGGCGCGGTGAGCTGAGATCCAGAGGGGCCGAGCGCCTGCAGAGCGGGTAGCCAGGCTCTGCCCCTTGGGCGTGGCAGGTGGATGTCTGAGTCACGCCGAAGGACACCGCCTGGCACTGGACTCCAGGCGGCCGACGGACTGGCGCTCCGGCCCCGCCCCCAGGGCTCAGCCCCGCCCCCGGGCCGGGGGTTGGCTGCAGGCGCGGGCCACGCGCGGCGATTTGCCACGCTCCGCGTCACTGGAGCCGCTCCCGGCTCCGACTCCCGCGGGCCGTCCGGGAGGCAGCGGTGAGGAGGCGGGGTGGCAGGGTGCGACGCCGCGGGGCCAGGCCGCCCCGCCCTGGGAGGCGCCCGGACCCTCGTCAAGTGACCAGCATCCCTTCCAGAAGAACGCGGTCCTTCAGAGGGAAGCGAGCAGCAGCCTGTAGCCCGGGCGCCAAACCGCCGTCATCGCCTTCCTGTGCATGGTGATCCGTCACCACCCCCCCACCCCCCGGAAAACATAGTCCGCCCTCACGTCCTTGTGGAACAGGCTCGCCTCCAAACAGTGACTCTTTTGTGCCCGGACCCTTGTCTTTCTCTCTCCAAGTACTCTAGGACCCACGGAGGGGAGAAATCAGCCCTCAAGGGAAAGCCTTAAAGGAGAAACCAAAGAAGGAGCCGAGGGGCCCGGAGGGAAGGCTAGGCTGGCGGAGGGACACGGCGCGGAGGACGTAGTGCGCACGCGCGCCGCGAGGAACGAGTTCCGGTCGGGCCGAGGCCTGTCCCTAAAAATAGCCCCGGTGTGGGGATCCGTGCGCGGATGTCCCGGCGAGTCCCGGGCTGAAGGAGGCGGCTCCGGGCGGTGCGGAGTGCTGTGGCGGGCTGGGCTGCGGCGTGTGTGCGCCCGCCAGCTGCGCCGGAGACACGGTGAGGGCCGCGGGCGGCGGGCTCTGGCCTCGGGGCCGGGGGTGTCGGAGGGGGCGGTGTCTTGGTGAGGAGCTGGCTGGGGCTGGGGTGGGGGTGCTGGGGCGAGGGGCGGCGCGACGGATGCGGGTCGTCCGCGGGAGCCGGGACGAGGCCGTGTCCGGCAGGAAGGGGCCGGGGTCGCGAGCACGCGGCGGCCAGGCGTCAGGGTACGGGGAAGAGCGGCTGGTCGGGGTCGGCGGCGAGGGGCGAGGCGCCCGGAGAGGTGGGGGCGAGGGGCGGGGCCTGACGGGCGCCCCCGGGGTCCGCTCGGGGAGGCTCGGCTGCTGGGTTGGTCGCGAGCGGCTTCCCGCGGCCGGGGGCCGGTAGTGGACGTCGCTTCCTTGAAAGTTGAAGGAGTTCCCTGGGGGCCTCGGAGCTTTACGGGCTCCTTCCTGCTGCCCTCGGCGGCCGGGGTCTCCCCGAGGGGATTGACCCTGAGTGCAGGGCGCGTTCTCCCCGGTGGTCGGACTTGGAGAAGTTCCACACTTCTGCTTGGGGAGACGGTCGGTCTAACGGGCGGAACACCAGGGTCCGAAGTCTGCTGAGTGTGTGGGGTGTCGCCGCTGGGGTCGGTATTTGGGGCGGTGTCCCGGCCCGGGGGCACCTGCGGGTGTGGACGGCGTGGGCAAGCCACGCGGGGAGACGTCGCGCCGACCGGGAGGCTGCAGGGCGAACCTGTCTCCCCTGCATCCACATAGATCCCAGCACGCCGGGAGGTGCCGTGTGATAGAAACTTTGTCTTTTAGTTGGTTGTCGTATGTCTGTGAGCCGCGAGGGTTAAAAATAGGTAATAGGGCAAATAAGTTTTGGGAAGGTGAGCAAGTATTTTTTTCCCCGTGAAACTATAACTATAAAATTGTTGCTCAGACCTGATACAGATTTCCTGAGCTGTGAAGCGAGTCTCCTGTCATGATCGAGTGGGGAAACGTGTGTGTATATTGAATACAGCGTAGTGTTAACCTGTATTTTAGTTCACCATGAAATCAGGATTTCAACAACTGTGCTGTTACAAAGACCTGCTGTGATGTTAACAATAGCGTGCGTATTTTAAAGCAAATACTGTCTAATGTTTTTCAAGTTTTTAGCACAGCATGTTTGGCTTGTGTCTTGTATCATCCATTACTATATGAAGATGAAGTTCTTGAAAGCCATAATTAGGTGTGTATTACACAAGAGTACTTTCCCTTTAAGAATCCAGCTGTGTTGTTTTGGCAATTGCTAAGTACTCCAGTTGTCAGTTTTAAAATCTGTGTTACTTTGGCAGTACTTGAAGTCTGTGGAAAAGGTAAACAAGATAGTTTTTTTAAACATACAAAATGATATTTTAATAAGAATTTCGGAGATGAAGATAAAAATAAGTGTATTGTGCTATTATGACTTTCGTATGTGCAGTTTTTATTTTTGTATGTTTTGGAGAGCTCTGTCTTTAGTCTTCTTTTCCTGCTAATGGCAACTTGTGTTGTAGAGAAAGAATCAATGTTTGGCATCTAAAGCAGATGCCAAGTTAGAGTTTATATTATATGTAATGTTTATACAAATGTAATGTTTATAGACTCATGTCTATGTCATGTAAAACGGTAAGATTAGTATTTGTGGTATATGCTGATGCTTTCATTGACACTAGACTTACCTTTAATTCTCAATGAACATTGTTGCAGAAGTTGAGAAAATGTTATAGTAAATCCTCTAACGAGCTAAAACTAGTGATTTGAGTGTTTGTAAACTCTAGATTAATAGTTCTGTTGGAAGAGTGCTTCCAGTAGATGCTTACAGAAGCAGTCATTGCTTTGCAGTAACAGTGTTCTTGCAAATCATAATTACTTGCTTAGCTATTTAATTCACACTATAGTTACATAAAAATTAAAATCTTCTTCATATTGGAACAAAGGTGTTAAAATTACACTCACTTATCTCTTCCCATGACAAGTTTTTAAAAATTAAATTATTGGAGGTGATCAAGGGAAGAAAAATAGTTTATTGAGGCTCAAAAAATAATTGTCACTTGGTTGAATTATGGCTTGAGAATAATTCTTTCATGTAGAGCTTTAAAAAAATTGTTTCCACAATGGGTATGTGTGACAAAGATTTTTTTTTTGCAAATGTAATTGGGAATAATTTTTTAAAAACTGAATTATTTAAAATTGTGATGCTGTGTTTTTCCAGAGAAGATTCATTACAGCTTTGTATTTTCCATTTAGAATACAGTGGTGGTTCATATTAATGTTAGTAATATTCAGGTAATAACAGTGTCATTAATTGTTTGACTACCAAAAGTATTCAAGAATTGTTAAGTAATTATGGAAATGTTTATTAGAAAATGATTTTGAAGTTTGAGATAGATTAGCTTAATCTTCACAGTAGATTTTGTGTTCTGATGTAGGAGGAAGACATAAGCAAATTTGTTTTTGGAAAGTAGCATGCTTGTCAGTCACTTTTGGAAAGCCTTTTTTTCCCTCCCTTTACTGCTTTTAGTCTGGCAAGAGGAATTTAGTATTACATACAGTGGTGATGTGGATTTTCTGGGGGCATTTCAATTTTAAATACAGTGTTTTGTCTTACAGTCAGACCATGCCCCCACTTTTTGATTTGAAAGATATACTCATGGTACATATAAATGTTGGAAAGTCCAGTGTGAGTTTTATCAGTGAAGGGGCACCTGCAACTTTGTGAATTGAAAATGATCCCTATTGCTTTTTTTTCCTAGAAGAGAAAGGAAATCTGTAAATGTACTCAGTAAATTGAGAGGTATCTACTTTCATAATGTCTTAGTGGTAAAGTGTACTATACAGAAATTACATCAGTCTTTCTGCTAGATAACCTAGGACGAGAAGATTCTTTAACATGTGTTGATTTGCAGGCCTTCATAAAAGAAAGCTGCTTGGCTGTGCAGTCAGATCTTGATTCAAATACTAGCTTCCCTATTGACAAACTATGAAATACCTATATAACTAACTATGTAACTATAAAATGGAAATTATACCACCTGCCCCATGGTATTATTAGAATTTAAATGAGATGAGTGTAAAAGGTCCTAGCACATTGCCTGGGGTGTAATGTACAAAAATGCATATTGCTTGATGTCCCTTCCTCCTTTTCCCGCTTTCATTGCTTCCTTCCTGTGAAGATTATATACCATCTTGCCCAGTGTGTGTATGTTTATTGTTTGTGACCAAAAGAATTTCATATAATGGATCCGTACAGGAGAATGCTCATGTATTTGTTTTGGATAAAATATTCCGGTCTCTTTAATTCATTGTCAGATTAGACAAAATGTTCAGTTGTCTCTTCTACGTTAGATTTTTGATTTGCCTAGTTTGTGGCTAACCTCTATAATCTCCCCTACTTTAAAAAAATTATAGTTAAATATAAGTGCCTTCCCTATAGTCAGTGAATTATGTCTTTTAGAAATGATTTAGGAGAGTTATCTTTAAGATAACGATAATTAAAATTTGAAGCTAGAAACATTTTTATAACCAACCTGGAATAAGTATGCATAAAAATAACTTTAGGCTGGGGATTTAGCTCTGTGGTTCTCCCACCTGCCTCACAAGGGCAAGGTCCAGAGTTTGATCCCTGGTACTAAAAAAATAAATAAATAAAAGTCAATGAACCAAACCCTGAACCCTTTTAAAGAACAATAAAACATTTTAAAAAATAACTTTAGTAGGTAATTATAATTTCTTTATATTTCATCTTCTCTAATCTGTGAAACTAAATTATTTTATCCATGTATCCTCTGTGTACCCCATAATAAAAGGATCGTGTGTCTGGGTTATTATAATGAACAGTAATACAATCCCATTTGTTGATTGGTAAATCTCGTGCCTAGCATTGGCTATGTTGGCACTTACTTAACAAATACTATATTTTTATTAGGTACTTTATTTATAAATTTTAATTATGACTAAAGCATGAAGAAGAATTTGTCATTGGGCACAAGCACACCTAAGTGTACATATTTTTGGAAAATGCTACTACATT